GAGGAGAGGCTTCACAGAGAAGGGGATTTCTGAGCTGGTTCTAGAAGAATAGAGTTAAAATTTGCTAATGGAGCTAGAAAAATAGGGTAGGGAAAGATGATGAAGCACATGAAGGGGATTGGGTAAACCTCGGGTACCTGGTGGGATCTGACAGATTACACAAAGCAGGAGACTGTACTCCGGGCAGTTTAGACTCTACAGACAATGGGGGTGCCTCAGGGCTTCAGGAGGGAACAGTATGTTCAGATCTGATTTAGCTGTAGCCGTAACACCGAGAATAGGATTGCTATGGATCTCAAGATGCGAGGTATCCCTTCTGAAGGGCTCTTAGGAAACAGAAGGAGGCAGGGGAATCCTGAATGAGACTCCAAGGACAGGGCATACGAGAAAAGAAGTCCAGAGGTCCTTCCTCCCACACTGTGGCCATGAGACATCTGTGAGTCCTTGTACCCCATTCTACCACTGGCCCCAGGCCTGGGGTGCTTCTCTGCCCCACTAGCAACCTCTCAGGACAGCCCAGAAGCAAGTTTCAGGGCAGTGGCCCAAACGTTAGGGTGAAACCTCCATAACATAACAAGGTGCAAGCTAAGGAAGTCTGTCTGACTTATGGAAGAAATGCGAGGGAGGGGATTTAGAGAGAAAAAGAAGGTTGGAGGTGTAGCTCAGCTGGTAGAGCGCTTATATGGCAAGCACGAAGGTCTGTGTTCAATACCCAGCACCCCACAAACCAGAAGTTGGGAGGGGGCTATCTGTAATCTTAGTATTGGGCGGGGTAGAAGGATCAGGAATTTGAGAAAGGAGGCTGTAGGGAAAGCGAAGGCCATCAGAGAAGATGGAGGGACGCCTGCCTTGATGAAAGGTGATCTTACAAATAAAGAGTCCAAGCATGTGAGAAACACAAACACTCGAGTGCTAAGGGCCAGCATTTCACTGAAGTGTTAGAAACTGAGTTGGGCTACTTTTCAATATTCAATCATGGGAATTCAAATATCTGTTGTACAAATGAGGACATAGAAATTTAGGAATGCTGAGGGCAAATCACTAGTGAGTGACGACAAAAGCTAGCATGATGTCTAATACTGAAGTCTCAGCTGTTCTCAGCTCATGCCTATCATCAGCTCCAAGGGACTGCAAGGGAACAGGATTCTGACCTGTTGGCCACTGAAGGTCTCATGGGCTTTGAACTACTGAGCTGTTTTCCTGAAGGCAAAAGCAAAGGCAGGAGGATGGGGGACATGAGCTCAGAGTGTTCCTTGGACAGTGAAGCAATTAGTTCCAGGAAGAGGAACGGTCCTGTGGCTGCCCCTGCTCAAACAGAAGCTTGCTCTGGGAAAGAAAGCTGTTCAGAACTCGAGTCATTTACAAATATGTGAACATATACTGCGTACTTCCTGTGTGCTCAGCAGAGTACTGGGGAGATGGGGAATGAAGAGGACAAGCTGCTTCTGGACCCTACATGTCCTGTCTGTTCTCTAGCACTCCTTCACATTCCAAGAGCTGCATTCTGCCTTGACGGAGCACTAGCCCAACTCGGGGGCTGGGGGGAGAGAGCATGAAGCCAAAATCACCGAGAAGATTCTGATTTGAAATGAGCCAGGCATCTCTGGTTCAAGGTCCTATTTGTGCTTCTGAAGCAGTTAACTGACATCCAGGACTTACTTTTGTTTATTTGTTTTAAGGCTGTCAGCCACATCCCTGTGTCTTCACGGCATTGCCAGCTTTTTACTCTTTGGGGAGTAGTTTGATTATACGAATCACATGAATTGAAAGTTCACTAACCCTCTGCCTGTTGACCCCTCCAGTTCTAAGACTGAAGTGGGGTCTCCAGCATGCTTGGGTGTACACTTTACCACCGACTTGCATCCCTGGTCCCTACCTATCCCTTGGAAAAATCACTTGTCTACTGGAAGCAGTAAACAGGCAGCTGGCTAATGCTGACTCTCTGAAGGATGAGAAGATTATGAAGCAGTGAGATTGCTCTTCTCTGGAAACAACAAACAGGAGCAGAACATGAAAAGACACACAAAGCCACGTGCTGGGATTCAGGACGCAGCCTGGTCTAGAACAAACCCCACATGCAAATCCTAACAGTGTTAACTGCAGCTGAGTATTAATCAGGTGGTGCTGAGAGCTTAGGAGTCATCAAAAGCACTAATGGTCGAGTTGTCTGCTGGGCCAGCTCCCCAGCCCAGTGATTTTTGTCTCGTGGTTAAACCGTGTGGAGAAGACCAGGCGATTCTGGGGCGAAAGCTAAGGTAATGGGCAAAGGATCAGAGACCAGGCGGACTCATCTCACTCTGTCTCTGTTCCTTGTGAAACGCCAGTTCTTCGGGTCCAGAGCAAATGTCCGCTCACCACCATCTTAACAAAATAACAGCTTTCTATACAGCAGCCAAGGCCACATGCTTCCCAACAACTCCACCCACTTTCTCTCACATGAGGTAAAACATGAAAATGCTTACAGACCCAGGAATGTCCGTGAGTATTCCATGTAGACACCAACGCAAAGCCAGCTCTCCCCAAATGTGCCAATATTACAATATAGAGCAGAGAGAACACTTAGGTACATGAGTTGTGAAATAATTGTACACAGAGGAAAGTTGTTTGACAAAGTGAATCTGCAGCTGCAATAACTTTTACACTAACTTCAACACTGCTTCATCTAACCTATTCTAAGTACCTAAATCAACATGAACACTCCCTATTCATATTTGGGTAAAAAAAAATGTTCCTTTGCATCTACACCGTGTGTGTGTGTGTGTGTGTGTGTGTGTGTGTGTGTGTGTGTGTGTGTGTGTGTGTGTGTGTGTAAGACAGGGAGAGGGAGAGGGAGAGAAAGAGAGAGAGGGGGAGAGAGAGAATAAGAATTATCTTCTATGGTTAAATTCAAATATTGTTAATAAATACTCTTGTATTTAATATGACACATTACTTCACAAGCATGATCAGGATATAAAATATTTTAAAATAGGAAAGCCAGTTTCAAACAGCAACTGTGGTGTGATTTGACTGAAGCTATTTTAACACAGTGGAACAAGCCTAAAAACCACAAAGCATGGGCGCGTGAGGTAGGAAGACACCCCGGCCTTGGAGGGTTCAAGTCCATCTTGAGCAACACAGGAAGCCCCATACCTCACAGAAAAGACGATTTCATACACAGACACAACACCTTCACTTAGGAGCTGAGTGTCTCTTCTACACACTGTCTGTGTTTTGTTTAATAATTGTCCAAGTGCAGCAGCTGCAGGAAACAAGGACCATAGAGAAGACAATAAAGGAGAAGATCACAAGAGCCCACACCGCCCTCCCAGGTCACTTCTCACCATCGCCCTTCGTTACACTCTAACTTATCAACTCTAAGTGGTCCACAAGGAAATTCCGCCAGCACCATGTCCTCTTCTTGTCAAGTGCAATCCTCCATAGAGAAGCAAATATGCCCAACTCCTACCTTTTCCAGTCACAAATGTCGTCAGAGCCACAGTCACTGATTTATGAACGTAAGGAATGGCTGGGGCTAGACAGAGGGCTTAGTGTACCAGTTCTCAACCTGTGGGTCTCAACCCCTTTGGGGTGGAACAACCTCTTTCACAGGGGCCACCTAAGACCACTGGAAAACATAGATATTCACAGTATGAGTTAACAGTACCAAGTTACAGTTAAGAAGTAGCAATGAAAATTATTTTATGCTTGGGAGTCACCACAGCATGAGGAGCTATACTGAAGGGACCGTCGCAGCACTAGGAAGGTGGAGAACCACTGGCTTAGAAGATGTGCAAACATGAGGATGTGAATTTGAATTCAAGTGCCCACATCACAAGTCATGCACGTATGCATGGACGCACACATGCACACCCCTAACTCCAGTGCCATGGAGAATGGGAACAGAAGGATCACTGGGGCTTCCTGGCTGCCAGCCTAGCTCCAGGTTTAGGAAAAGACCCTGCCTGAAAGGTCTAAGGTGGAGAGAGAACAAGCAAGACACTCAATATCCTCTTTTGGGCTCTGTATGCACTTAGAGAAGCAAGCAACCACAGACATGAGCACATATACCACACAGACCACATTCAAACATATACATACACAGTCTCACACATATAGACACACAAAGGGCTGGGTATCACATCAGTTATCTGTCTGAGGTTTGTTCATCTTTGATTGCCAGTATTTATTTAGATTTGTAAACTCATATAGTTGTCAAAGTGTTACCTGCTTTAGCGTTCTATATGTCTATATGGTTTTCAGCCATATATATGTATGTCTATATATGTCTTTCAGCCTTCTATATATCTACAGAAAAAGCCTACTTTTTTCTCCTTTTGCAATGAAAATGATTATCTCTAAATTTCGTCTAGAATGTAACTAAAGACAAGCATACCCCTCAACCCCACCCACCTATCTCCACAACATTAACCTACAAAGGCACATGGCCTTCTGGGCTGCTGACTCCACTCATGGGGAGCCTGACCCTCCATCTCATTTTGGTCTGTGAAAGGTGTGAAGATGCCAAAGGACATCCAGGGACGCCCTTGTCTGAACCTGAACAGGGATATATTCCTGCCATGCACAGCCAACGTCACTACAACATTAAATAACTACAGTTGTTTCCATAAGGTATAATTACTTGGGATTAGAATTAGCCCATGCTTGCAAGAAAAAGATTCAATTTGATATATTCCATATCTCTCAATGTAGCATGAAACAAGCCAATGTGAAAACAATTTCCAATACTGTTTCTGAGATGAAGTGTGACGAAAAATTCACATAAATAAATAGCTACAGTAGTCTTTCCTTACTAAGAAAGGGATAAGGTTGAGCCAACGGTTCCCAGAAAAAAAAAATCCATCATGAAATAAAGTCCCCCTGTAAAAGATGGTCCCATAAAATAGTCCCCCTATAAAGATGGTACCATGAAATAAGGTTCCCCTGTAAAGATGGTGCCATGAAATAAGGTTCCTCTGAAAACGATGGTGCCCTTGAAATGCCCATGTCTACAGCATTACCTTGCAAGTCCGAATCACTGGACTTGGGGCTGCTTCTTGCTCTCCGCTCTGTCTTTTTGATCCCAGGTCCACCTCCGCTCCCACCTCCGACTCCTCCACCGCTTCCAGCACTGTGGCCTTTGCCATAGCCATTGTACACCGTGGCACAGTTGCTCTTGTAGATGGTGGAAGGTGGGCTGTTTAGGCGGTTCTGGCGGTCAATCTGGCGGTCCTTCAGCTTTTTGTGGGGTGGCTTGCTATACTGGTCTTCTCGAGTGATATAGCTCGACATTCCATACAGTGGGATAATTTCTAGAATGAATGTGTGTGATAAATACAAGCTCAGTCTACATTTGTCACAGTGAGTAATTAAAAGGTCAAATAACCTGACCCCTGGAGGAAACAATGCAAAGAACTGCTACATACATTATAAAATATACTTTAAAACAATGCTGGGTGCATTATGGGATCATCAGTTATTAAAAACAACACAGTACATTTATTATTTCCTATAAATTATGGAGAAAAATGAAGACAACAGTTATCTTCAGTTATCCCCAAAGACTTCATTGGCTGGTGAATTTACAACTAAATCTGATCTTGCCTTTCTCAATGTCTTTAGTAGATGCAGTACATATATAAGAGAACAAATGAAATATCACTTTACATGTATATATAGACTCAAAACATTTAAAAGTATAACTATTTGTAGAGAAACAACAATGTTTCTATCAAAAAGTACAGAGTTAGCATGATATAAAAAGTTACTCTGGGCATTTAAAAAAAAACAACAATTGGAAAAAAATTATTAAAGAGGGTAAAATGACAAATAGTTGTTAAAAGTAACCAAAGATATAAAATGAAGGGAGAAAGAAGTGTGAAAAAAAGAAGAGCCACTTTTGCAGTCTGTAGCTAAACTTAACAGCTGCCATTTTGAACCTCTTTTGGAACGATGGGTGGAGGAACATGTGAGTGGAGTCTCACTTCTAACTGGTAAAGGAGAAAATAGGAACTTGCAATAGTTCTTATGATCTTAGGAGAGATTTTATTTTACTCATTTAATTTTTTAACTTTATGTGTATCATTATTTTGTCTGCATATATGTTTGTGCAGCATGTGTGTGCCCATGGAGTCCAGAAGTGCCAGGCTCCCTGGAACTGGAGGTGCAGAGGATTAATGAGTGACCCTGTAGGGCTGAGGATTGAACCCAGGGCCAGTGCTCTAAACTGCTGAGCCAGCTCTCTAACCCCTTACTCGTTCTTTCTTAAAAATTTATCTTTTTTTCACATGTGTACCACATGTGTGCCGGCACCGCAGAGGCCGGAAGACAGCGCTGGGTCACCTGGAACTGGACTCCAGTGACGGGGCTGGGGACCAAACACTGGCCCTCTGCAAGAGCAGGAAGTGAGGTGTTTTTAAATCATGTTTCGGCATCAACAGAAAACGACACCACATATCATAGATAATATGTCCTTATCTCCTTTCAGGAATAAAAGGACTTCTCAAATATACAGTAACTGCATAAATTATATGTGACTTGTGGGCATGAAAAGAAAGGACTAACCACAATTTCTAGGATGAGGAACCCAAAGGATGACAGTGCTGAGTAGGAATGCATGGGAAACTCCATAACTCAACTAATTATGAAATTATTAATAGTTCAGCTCTTCACACAGCTTCATTACATCTTTACAAGACAGCCAGTGTGGACTAGAGAGTGTGAGAAAACCAGCAGTGCCATATTCAGAGAGAGGTGTTGAAGTGAACTGTTCTAGTATATGGCAGACGCTGGCCACAGTTCTAAACGGCACAAGGCATTACACTTGACAGGTAAAGCGGTCACCGTGGAGAGTAACGTAAGAACCATTTCAGACACGGTGAGAATTTTCTAAGCTTTCATGGTTCCAGGAGTCAATGTTTAATTGCTTTTAGCAATACACACTGAGAAAGCAGGGAAGGAAGCTCCACAGATGTTTCTAGAATATGAAGGTTTTTTTTGTCATCTTTAATTTGAAGCTAAAGGTGGCACTTTTCTTCTATGAATGTTACTGTTCAGTGTTATTTTAGTGAAATTAGATCAAAGTACACTATGAAATAAAGAACAGACAGTGCTTATCTAATTCTGATGATGGTTTAAATCACAGTTTTACCTTGCTAAGATAATAAAGCCATCATTTATACAAGAGTAACCACCAGGCATCATAGGGAGCAGCTGATAAAATAATGTAGGTCAGAGAGCATCAGCAGAATGTGAGTCAGGGGGCAAGGCTCTGCAGAATGTCTGTGCAGTCACAGCCAACCAGACACTCTGACAACCTTCCAAATATTTCATATGGATTATGACAGAGCACTAAATACCTTTTCACAAACTGATTAACTGAGTGAGATGGTACATGCCCACAATCTTAACACCTGGCAGGCAGAGGCAGGAGGATTGCTATGAGTTTAAGATGACTCTGGGCTCCAGAGTGAGACCATGTCTTAAAAAACAAAAACAAAATCAAAGTTAACAAAATTTTTTTTCTAAATGTCTTCATACCATGCTTTTTTGTTTATGTCATTAAGAAAATAAAGATCAAATTAGTAAATGGTTGATGCAGGGCATGATATTTACCTCATGTTTGGCTGTGACCTTCCTACACCCTTTTATGAAAGCATGTTAAATTTCTTCTGACTAACTACCAAAACAAACAAAATAATCCGATTTCATTCCTAAGTGACAATGGGATATTTAATTAAAATATTCATCTCAGGGGGTGGATTGGGGGGAGGAAGGCTGGGAGGCGGAAGGAGGGAGGACAGGGGAATCTGTGGCTGATATGTAAAATTAAATTAATTATAAAATAAAAATATTTTAAAAAATATTCATCTCAGATTTCTCTTTTGTTCATAATAAAAAAAAGAGACAAATGCCAATGTGAGATGAACAGAGGAGAAAGCGGGAGAGAGATGTGGTGCTGTGCTCAAAGCACACGGGGAACTCGCTCCAACACTATGCAGTGTAAGAGGACGTCTCTGAACCAACACGACAAGTGTCTAAAGAAGTCAAATGCTCCAATTCAGAGGGAGAGGGGCCTTTCTCGAAGTCCAAGAGCTGAAGTCAGTTTCTGCCTCCCTGTTCTCTGGCCTCCGAGCGTGACTTGGATAGTCAGAGCTCGAGACTGAATCCACATTGGAACTTCCAAAGACACAAGGCCGAGAACACCGAGACTCTCTTCCTTCCGACCTAAGTATTTGCCTAACAACCAGTGACACTGTGGCTAAGATAACGGCTAGTCTCAAATGAAAAACAGCTGCAGGTTGGCCACACCAACAGCAAGATGACTGTTGAGTTCTGCCAAGATATATCTTTCGGGAAACCCAAAGGATATTGAGACTTCATAATCTTCTAACGTTTTAACGGGGCACGAATCATTTCAATTTCCCTTCTACTGGCAGACCGTGATGATGCCAAAGAAATAACGGGGCCCAGCTCTGCCTGAGGCCACTCTTACATAAACACATATCAGCAGGCAGAGGAACACAGGGCAGACGGCTACCTCACTTCCAAAATGCTCTTGGTGGGGTGGACCGACCAAGTCAAATCCAGACAGCGGAAGCTTGGGACGGCGCATGAGTTTTGTACCAATTAGGTCTCTTTCTGCCTTGCTTACTCCACAGGAGACCAAGCCTAGAGGCCTCCCGAGTTGCTGGAGTGCAGCAGTTTCAGCAAATCCTGGCCAGCTGTGACGGACTCACCTTGCTCACTATATATGGTGGGGGGCAGGTGGTGCTGGGGGAAGAACTGTGGTGGCATGTCTCCAGGCACGGTGACAGGAGGGTAGTAGGCTGTGTGCGAGTTCTGAATGAAGTGCGGGTGGTGAGTCAGATAAGGGGGGAGGTGATGGGTGGGAGACATGGCTGAGGGATAGCTCGGTGGGTAACACTCAGGAGACTGGGGTGTGACCACCACCCGGCGGACTCCAGTACTGTCTTCAATCACCTAAGAGAGAAAACAGAAGGACTGGATATAATACATACTATTAACAAGCACACCTGTGGATATGAAAGTATTATTAACTTCCCTGTTAATTACACAAAGGAATTAGTAACTTCCCCATTAACTGAATGAGTCCAACTCCATGAAACATTTTGAAAAAACCATTATCTTGCTAGTAAATCTTGGATTTATCATACAATTTTTATGGTCATAAAAATTTTACTGGACAAGTAAATCGAACATATGCTTAAACTGATGTTAGGAGTAACTTTGTATATAACTATAGACTCAATGGTTTTGCAGGAAGATTTCTACGGTTATCTAAGAAGTTTCTAGGGCTGGGTTTCTAGATCTGCCTGACAACGTCTACTCTCTATCTGCTTTAGGACACACAAGTTCATGGATATCAGGAAACACAGGGAACAGTGATGCCAAAAGCCACAGAAATACACTAAAACATCATTTACCTGGACTAAGGATGGTGGGAAAATGAAGGGATTCCGCCAATGGAATAACTTAAGCAATCTCAAGTCAGGATAGTCAAATTTATACCTAGCTGTTCTGATTTCACCAAGAGCTCTGGCAGATGAGACCAAGCAACCTCTCATCTCTAGGAAGTCAACTAGGGAGGAACAATGTGATAGTCAATGCCTACCCGGCCAGTGCTGTGCTACTGTGTTATCCCAAACAGTCTTGATACAACACAAGCAAGGATATTGTCCATACAACAGACACCACAATGAAAAGGCAAAGCTACGAGCCGCCACAGGAAGTGGAACCATGACATGACAGTCCCAGAAGGCTACCGGGGCTTCAGAGAACTGCAGGACTGAAACAGCTGATGGATGAACTCTAGGTTGGGGGCCTCTGAGGAAGAAGACTGAAGAGTAATCTCAGGAGGCTGAGGCTACAGCTCAGTTGAAAGGAAGGGCCTGGCTTTGGTCAAATTAAAGAGGAACAAGATATACAAGTACACACACACACACACACACACACACACACACACACACACACACACACACACACACTGTTAAACTGGGAATCTGGGGCCAGACTCACCAACATTTGATCGAATCAATTATTTAAGAAAATGAGGCATACACTCTGACAGGCTTTATTGTTGGTTTCTTTTTCTTTTAAATGCTTGAAATTGAATCTGTATATTGAAATAGATTGTTGCATTGCTTCTCAGGAGGTTGATAACAGGACAAAATAAAATGATTTAATTGTGTCTAACAACAAAAACATACCCTATGCTTAGCTTCATGAAAAACAACAACACAGTACTGCTAAGGCTGAACTGGCGAGTCTCTAAGTGTTTAGTCTACGTTTTAGTGTACAAAGTCATCCTGACTTGAATTAACAGCCAATGGCTGCTCTTCATGTTAAGAAAACAGGAGGATAGAGAGATGGCTGGGTGGTTTAGAGCACATGCTGCTCTTCCAGAGGACCCTGGTTTACTTCCCAGCATCCTCATGGCAGCTCAAAAGAGCCCAGACCTCCACCTCCAGGGATTAGATGCTGCCCTTGAACCTCGTGGACACCTGCACACATATGGTGCACATAAACACACGCAAACACACATACATGCATATAAATTAACGTGAAAATTTCTACTGTACTCATATTTCATTAAGCTCAACATTCATTCCCTGAAATTGAGGCTCTGAATCATTCTTTCTCCTAGAGCTCAAGACAATCTTTCTTGTCCTTACAGTTTTGAATAAAGCTAGCCACTTCCGGGGTGTGGCCAGCTAATCACATCAAGCTACTTCTGAACATGCAGCTGGTATATTTTACAAGTCCATGTGTAAGAGTGTCTAAACAAGGACACGGGAAAGTGCAGGCACAGACTGACATCATCTATCCTCAGTCTAAAAGATGGAGCACAAACACACTGGTCTAGAACATACTTCCTACAACTGCAATATCAATGTGGATGTTTCTTACCAGCGATACAAAAAATGCCTCTTCCAGGGTTCTCTTACCCTCTCTAACTTCCACCAGCTATTAGGAAAAGGGGAAGGCACATTCTAGGTGTTCCATCTTCATAAGATATTCATTCAATCCTCAAAGCTCAAAGAAGCAAAGAATTCCAAGCAGTTCCCCATTTCCTCTAGGTGAAGCCGCATGGAAGTCACTGATGTAGTAAAGCTGACAGAGGCCACTTTCCACAGCAGTGATTGTAATGAAAATAATTTATTCTTAGCCGTTCATAATTTCTGGCTTGCTATAAGCATATTTTTTCTAAAGTTCATCAAAAAACTAAATGACATGCAGAGCTGAAAAACTGTGTTCTTACTACTTTTATAAGAACAATTGTCCTTAAAAAATTGTTCCTAAAAGTTAATAAAGTAAGAGGCGGGAGAGATGACTCAGAGGTTAAGAGCACTGACTGCTCTTCCAGAGGTCCTGAGTTCAATTCCAGCACCCACATGGTGGCTCACAACCATCTGTTATGAGATCTGGTGCCCTCTTCTGGCATGCAGGCAGAATAGTGTATATAATAATTTAAAGAAATCTTTAAGAAATAATAATAATAAAATAAATTTACTCTGAAGGGTAAATTATCTTTACACACACACACACACACACACACACACACACACCAGCTTTCTAGGCAGAAAATTAAGTAGCATCACAAAGCCGCAAATTGACGCACATAAAACCTGCCGGAAGCCCTGTTGTAATTATCCTGAATTATTCTGTGGTATCTGTGAAAGATATTTACATGTACATACATAATAAGACACTTTCAGAAACCCGCTCTTACCCAAACTAGGCCTGTCTTTCATCCTCCCCAAATTAAGTATTAATTTTAAACTAAGTATAAAAAAACAAAAACACAGTGATAATTTGCCTGCTGCTGTTTTTTTTTTTTGTTTGTTTTGTTTTTTGGTTTTTTTTTTTGGTTTTTCGAGACAGGGTTTCTCTGTGTAGCTTTGCGCCTTTCCTGGATCTCGCGCTGTAGACCAGGCTGGCCCCGAACTCACAGAGATCCGCCTGCCTCTGCCTCCCGAGTGCTGGGATTAAAGGCGTGCGCCACCACCGCCCGGCCTGCTGCTGTTTTATAGCACAAATTATAGCACACTTTACTTATCAAATCTGGTTGTGAACTCTACCTAAGGAAATTATTCTCAGGTTTCCCTAAAGAATGACCAAGGCTGAGGAGCTTAGAGCTTAGTTAAGAATGCAATTTCAGAAGTGGTGGTAATAAGATCCTTTGTTTAGTAAAAATCATTCTCATATATGTATATATGAATTATATATAATTCTGGTAGAAGAAATCAAACATCTGAGAAATTCAATTTAAAATACCCAAGGCAACAAAATAGGCCTTCAAGCTCCACAGATAACTACTGAAAAACAAATTCATTTCCTTTTGGGGTGAATGAAATTATGGCCATGTCTGGAGGCAGACAAACCACATATTCAATTCAGCAGTGACTTCCTGGCACATACCACTGTTAACCACTGAATACTCCAAGGTGAGGAAACTAGCCTGGGTTCTAGCAAGTGCCGTGACAAAAGTCCAAATACAATGATTTCAGAAATCAATGGCTCAACCAAAGTGCCTCTCACGCATCCCCAGGGAAGCACAGAACTCTGGGAAAAGTAGGTGTGCTCTCTCTCTCAGATGGCCACCTACTGTGAGCTGCATTATGAACTCCACTAAGCCCCAATTCTTAACTCCCTGTGCTGAAGTGTTCATGCTCAGAGAGGCCTCAGAATGTGTATGCAGCTAGCCTCTAATCCAGAGTGAGATTAGGCCCTGGAATCGGACCTTGTGAAACGACCTAAGGAATACATTCATTTATAAGGTCAGAAACAGAGGCCTTGGAAGGCATTCCGCCATCTTGGACTTTTAGCCTCCAGAACTATGGTACTTTTTTGGGGGGGAGGGGGGCAGCTTTAGTAAAGTAACACAGCACCTAGAGGAGTCTTAAGGCAGGGTGGCTGAGTCCAAGTTTCCTTTACCTTAAGTCTATGCCTTCCCTGCTATGAAAAACAAAATGAAGTAAAACAAGTAAGTGATCCATTCATCTTTCATTCACACTAGCCTTGATCCACTTAAGATCCATATCTGATTATCTCATCTGAACTTAGAGAGCGCCACCACATGTTTCTCATCACCTGGGCCTCACCTCTCTGTGCCCATCCTCACCTTGCTGAACAGCTGTTGGTGCCCATCATCTATCTGCCTCCAGAGAAGGAGCAGGGCAAGGGCTACAGAGTCAGACAAGTGAGAAAACTTCTAGGTGCTGTGCACACTTGCCGTCCTGTGCCAAAGGCAAAGTGGCTGGTGTAGGCGCACCACATTAATTGGGTGAACTTGTGTTCTACTCACACAAGTGTTTCAATATATATGACCAAAAGAACCATGAATAAAATAAAAAAAAATAGAGTAGTCTAGAGACAGCGGCTAAGAGGGGGTCTAATGGGAGCAGTGTGCAGGGTGGGGTGGGGGTGGGGGCTAAGAGAGAAATTTCCAGCCCAATCCCAGCTGTCACATGTAAGTTCCCTGTCCACTGGAGAGTTAGACTTGAGCTTGCTATGTTAGAAAAAGGGAGACAACACAGAGTGCTATTAAAATGCAGCTAGTGACGTCACCACGCTGGGGTTTTTACGAGGTCAATACATCACTGCATCATGTGCAGGATTACACAGAAATTATGTAGGCTGCTAAGTCAATATACAAACAGCCAACACTCAGAGTTAGGGCACCTGTTAAGAGACACAAAAGGCTTCAAGGCACAGCCAAAACCACTACCTGCCTACAGTTGCTGTGCGTCAATGTCCTCAACCTGAAAGGAGCCAGGACACCTTTAGTTGCTGAACAGGGCATGATATATACCTTACCAAAACCTTGCCACAATCACCATTACCCATGTCCATCACCTCACTAAGTCAACAATCCTGAGGCACAGTGCTACTGCACAGAGCTACAGAAAGCAGGAGGTACTGAGGGGAGTCAATATAGCTCACTCAAACATAGAACTTTC